AATACTCACTGAAAAATACAGTATACATGTAGATCTTGTGTCACAAATATATGGTAATCCTTGTTCCTCGCACAAACCTATCGATATCGTTCATATCTGTTGCGCTTCCGTCCTAATGACCATGAGTATTACATATGTTCTTAAATGTAAAAAACGTCTTAAATGCCACTGGTTAACGCTACTATTCAATTGCCTGCACAGCTGAATCTACCCTACTCCTAATGAATACAATTTGCTGGAAGGTGGATTTCATCTTCCACGTTTCTCATGTTATATAACTCATGACTCTTCCTGTTATTTCGTGCACCTGCTTAGCATTGTGAGTAGACAATGTAATTAACTATCCGAGTTGTCTCGCTATAAGTTACATAATAAACTGTGGGGTGCTTTTTTTATTGGAGTAGATATTCTGAGTATATTCATTGTGAATAATGTTGCAGTCTGGTTCGCTCTCGAATGTCTAGAGAATAAAGAATTCATCAAATCACAACTATATCTGCAGACCCCGCCACCAAAAACCCTAATCCTTTCAGATTCATTAAGTGGGCTCCAGGCTATAAAAAAACTAAAACACAAAAAAACGCCAAAAACTAATACAACAGATAATTAAAAGCGCCAACAATCTACGTAAACTAGGTGAAGACATAGAAATAGTATGGATCCCTGCCCACGTTGGAGTGTTTGACAATGAACACGCAGACAAAGCAGCCAAATCTGCTCTAAAATTAGAAGAAGTAAGCATCAACCTACCAATGTAAAAAGATTAAATTAAAAGTAATACAAAAGTGGCAAAATAACTATCAAAAATAACTAAACTACAAACAGGCGACACTAAGTTAAACTCCCACCTACACCAAACTAAAAAAACACCAATCCGGGAAATGCCCCCACTGCAACTTAAAAGAAACTCCTGAACACATAATACTATATTGCACACAGTACCAGCAACATAGAACAACACTCCAATCCACTCTAAACTGCAACAATCAAATGACACTAGCAACGGTACTAAACCCCCTAAATGACTTACAAACCTTTAAAGCACTAGGCATATATCTAATCAAAACAGGCCTACTCGGCCGCATCTAACAAAGTACAACAAACAAGCTGCCAATAAACCTTAAAATTCTAAATCTACAAAAACATACTTAGAACTACATCTACTAAAACTACATTTAGTCCCCTCTCCATCTTTTGCATGGCATATTTCAAAATTCCAAATTTGTTATCCAAATTAGGTAAACAACCCTAAAAGCCCCCCTAGGTTGCCCAACCTTCTCGGACATACCCTTTTCGACAAAACACTAAATGGCCTGGCCACGTTAAAGTCCCAATTTAAAAAAGTAAATAAGTAGACCCCGCGTATCTGAGACACTCGACATGTGTATACGTGCATCAACTTTTGCACAAACCCAGTGTAGCAGTAGTTTGTCTGATTAACGAGCAGAAACTAATCTTACAACTTACCACTATGTGGAACAGATAAACAACACAGTGTTTGACCTATCATTTTAAAACCGTCTATGGATCATGTCTTTGAAAATCATTTACAAGTTCAACACATAAGGAAGACATCTTTAATTTGGGGAACACAATGTTTTGGAGTGTATACTTACTCCTTCACCTGATGAAAGAGTAAATATTACTTCGAAACATTGTGTTCCTCATAATAAAGTTACCATCCATAAATTCTCTTCCTTACATGTATGTATCATCCGTGTATCACCTGGTTTCTACTTCGTTTTGAGGAAAGTTATTCCGTTTTCATAAGCACATCAAAGCGAAATGTATTTTCATATATTTAATCCTGAATGCTAAATGCTAAACAGAGACAGTGATGGCCGCTGTTAACACTCAGCATTTCAGGCATTTACGGACGAACGCAAGTCCTTATTGTGTATGAATCAGATGAACTGAGGACCAAAATCGGGGTAAATCTAGAAAAAAAAGTGTATTCAGGCACCGCTGGGAATTGCGTTCTCTTACACTACTCCCAATTACGAAGACTATTGATAACTTATACAAATGAGTTACACACATCAGGGAATATTATTTTTTTCCATTAATTTCTTATTGATTAATATAGAATAGGTCATGCATCCTTGCGGAAAAAATACAGTTTTAAGAACATAATTTTTTATCCATGTAAAGCTTTATACTGTTAATGGACCTACCACCTACACCTCTTTAAATATAACACGAGCAACAGGCTTATATAGCTCCAGGTTAGATTGAACATACATCCGACATACATGGGGAAGTAACGCACGACAGCATTTCTGAAGTGTACATGCAGTGTACCAATATGGCGCCACTTTCTCGGCACTATTACCGACTTTTGCGGCACTATCGCGCCACTTTCACGGCACTATCGCGCCACTATCGCGCCACTATCGCGCCACTTTCACGGCACTATCGCGCCACTATCGCGCCACTTTCACGGCACTATCACGGCACTTTTGCGCCACTTACGCGAAACTTCGCGGCATCAGCGCGCAACTTTCGCAGCATTTTCTAGCCACTCTCGCGGTATTATCGCGCCACTTTCGAGTCACTTTCGCGATACTTTCACGGCACTATCGCGAACGCATAGCGAAATAGTTTCGCGATACAGGGGAAGTGACTTTTGAAATGTAGTGTACATACTTGTGTCATGCCCGAGTAGCTTTGGGGATTCCGGGTTATGTATGTATTTCCCCAGCAACCTATGCTGGTCGAAGGAGACGGCAAAATGGATTGAGTGGTCAGGCTCGGCGCATCAGCTACTCAATCACTCTGAATGTCAGTAGCAGGTCTTCGTTCGTCATCTAAAACAACTTTCAGACGACGAACGAAGATGCTATTGATTATAGCTTACTGGATAAGAGTTGCTAGACAGCCTTCTACAAGATATTCTAAACGATGTTATGATTTATGAAAGAAATTAGATGTTGTTGGAGATATTAACTGGGTTTCATCTGTGGGAACTACCATATTACAGTTTGGTGATTGACATGTCTGGATTTACCAGGACGTCGGAAATAAAGATCTATTCGTGTGTCTGTTTAAACAGAGATGTAAAGACATTTACCAACAAGAGTGGTACAACGATGTCAAAGAATCGAAATCCTTAACTTACTATTCATATTTCAAGCTTCAAATCACACCAGAGACATATGTGTTAGCTATAAAAGCCTAAAACTGAGCCGAGTATTAACAAACTTTAGATGTAATTGTCATGATTTGCATGAAGGAGCTGCCAGATTTTCCCAAACTCCTGAAACAGGAAATACGACATGTTTTTTACTGCAACCATGGCACAGAAGATGAATGTCACGTGTTAATGATTTGTCCAGAATACAGTTACATAAGAATTAAATATTTACCCCAGGATTTTGTAGCCAGGCCCTCTTATGAAAAGTTTCTGATACTAAAACAAACTAATGACGATAATCTCCTATTTATGCGAGCTGTATTATTGTATCACAAAGTCGCAAGAACACAATCCGTTTGTGAACTAGTATCTTTTGTTACTCCACAGCATATATTAAGGTACGCTCATTGCAACATTTACGCCTTAATTTAAACATGATGTACTATTGGTTTATACGCCACATATACGAATAAACTGTCTGTCTGTTTTATAAATGACCGCCAACGTTACTGCTACAGGACCACCAGCCCTTTGAAATTCAGGAGCAGTTAAGCATATTTCAGTTGTTGCTTCGTCTTTGCTGCATCCTAAGTCTATCTTACCATTTAGGCACCGTTGTCCATGACGTTTTACAGCTAAATTTGTCAATGACTGTTATCTTTTAAGAGGTAACATTATCATTTGAGTAATATACTTCCTTCAGATATAAAAAAGAATCTTGTTTTCATCACACGACTACCGTTGTAAATTAAATACACAACAATAATACCATAACGGGTCTTGTCATAAAACAAAAATATGGTGATTTCTGGAATACTTGTTTTGTTATTCGTTTCAATCCCTTCATCTGTTGCTTCAAGTAACGACACAAATTATTAGAGCTTGCCGTGTGGACACGTTGGATAGGTGATCTGGAGAAACAGCTGAGCCTGAAGGGGTTTTACAACAATGACGCTTGAAGAAGATGTGGCAACGCCGATGTCATCAATGGACCGCGCTTTAGCACATTATTAGAGCTTCATCTGTCAACATCAAAACCGTCGGGGACAATGCTACACAAACAGCCAGCTCACACACTGAGGCCACTGGAGTCTATTCAGGACAGTGTCCAACAGTGAACATGGAAGGTAGCAGTGAACAAAGATACAGTATACTTCTCGCGCATGGCCACACCCTTCACGAAGACAACAGTGCCGATCGTTCAACTCTTACAAGACCCGTTCCTAAACATTAATATCAGTTATGATCGTTAGTAAATGGTGGCACGTTACCCTAGGCAAATGCTGAGTTGATTCTTCTGTCATGACACTCATTTGATGCTGTACATGCCAGTTAGTATGGTACCTACTAGGTATCCATTAGTTATATAAAAAAATATATTTATATATATAATAAATAAAATAACAATGCCTAATTTCAGGATGAGGGCAATCTAGATGGGATAAATACTCTTTTTTTATGTATCCGATATTTGAGATGAATATCATTACATTTTTGTGTGTCCATATCTTAACTCAGAACGTAAGATTTTTCTTCCTGAATGCTATTCAGCTGCACCGAATGTTTTCAGTCTCCCTTTCAATGTACACAACTCGGATTTATGAAAACACAAAGCACATTTTGTAATATTATCATGAAATGTGTTCAATCCTCATGCAAACCCTCTTCCGCCATCATGTAATTTGAGTTTATCGACCTCGGAGCAAATAACGTTCTGTTCTGTTCTGGCACATCATTCTGATTTATTGTGATTCTCCAGGGTCTTGGAGACAGACTAGATATCCCTTACAATCCCATTAGGCGTCCGGTAAAGTGGGAATAGCATGAAGTACAAATCAAACAAAAATAGAACAAAAACAAAACATCATTATATTTATAAGATTTATTGAGTTTTATCTTACAAACACGTTGATGACTTTGGAATTTGTCCAATGTAAATTATGCAAAGCATATGAAGTGTTTTGATAATAAAAAGGATGGATGAGGCAATTATAGTTGCTAGTTTCATCACCAAGTTGAACGCCCATAGGGGCATTCTTAACATAATTTCTGATAAAAACAAAGTACAGTGATACTTATTTAACGCCTTGACAAGTCATTTTCTTTGTTAAAAATAAGATGAAGAAAGAAACCAAAAACAGTTGCCAGTACCAGCACCTTCACTCATTCCAGGTTCATAACTGTATTTTAGAAAGGACATGAACTTGCCTAAACACTCAATATTCCTTTAACTTTCATCTCACAGCGCAGAAAAACAAACAGACAATGAATCTTTCACATGCAACGTACAGTCCTGGTTTTACCTGATAAGTTTATTTTTACTTTCCCACTTATTGAACTTAGTGCTCACACACATCAAATATCTAAGATAATCAAGAATAAATGTTCCTTTTCACGCATAACACTTTCAATTACACGGTTCGCATTTATTGGACAACAAAAATGCCAAAAACAATTTGAAATGTATGTTACACAATAACTATGATTACTTTATCGATTTACATAAGTGCACTCGGAATGTCTGACAGGCAAGACATTTACCAATATGTGTATTAAACTTGACATTTTATATGTACCTTGGGGATCAGAGTGCTATCGACGAGGGTATGTCTTCGGGGTATTACCTAATTACATATAATACAAAATACACTGTCGAGGCATGACTCGTTCCCCATAACCTTTAATACAGATGGATCGTTCAAATGGAAGCTGTTCAAACAAGTTGAAGTAAGAGAAAACCGTCGTTATGCCCATTTGATTGTATCAACAAGACAGTGATCAAACCGCCTCCGTGGTGTACTAGATAGAGCGTCTACCCACAGAGCGGAAGTTTGGAGGTTCGATCCTCTGGTCGCGTCATACCCAAAAATGGTAATAGGTGGTACCCCCTGTACAACCACAAGTACACACCAGCATGCACGACGCTATAGAAATTAGTATTCAAGCTAGGACGTGTTTTTTTTAAATGATCTGCTATCAAAATATCAAGGTATGATCGATTGATGTGAAGATTTTCCCCAGTCGTAACTTGATATCGAAATGATGACATTATTTGCACAGAATATTTGTAAACGAGTGTGCAAACACCGTTTGGTATGAAAAACATCTGATGTTAAAGCATGACACATATACTATCGAAATGAAAGCTGAGAAACTTATCATCAATCACAAGAACGTTACAAAATGTCTATCAAAATCATGAATTTATGAATCACTATCAAACACCGGGTGTTCGCGAAAAGGTGGGCGTATCCTGCTCCACGTTAGGCACCCATCAGAAACACATGCAAAGGCAAGTCAAGTGTTCATCTGAACAAACACGGTAACATATGGTACAAGTCAAAAGAAGGAATTACATCGGAAACTATTTCGGTCACTTATGGTCAAACGTGACCTGACTGATGTACGCTGTTTTATTGAGTTGACAAATACAAAATATAACACGTGCCAATTAAATACATACAGTCAATCAAGAGGCTTGTCATTTGATTTCAAACAAAACTGATCTAAATCCAACGAGTTCTTGTCCATTTATACGACGAATCTGGCACCAGGTGTTCCAAGTGCCATTACCAAGATTGGTAAAAGCACGCTCTTCAAGCAAGGCACCAATACCAGACCTTCTGACACCTGCGGTCCGTTGCAGAACTGACCACTGCATATGGTCAAGCACATCTGACCCATGGTTTGCTTGTCGAACGTACAGGTTGTGATGTTGGTAGCGGTAATAACTTTCAGTCTCCCTTCCTTGGCGAATGAGAAGGAATCGTTCTGATTCGATGTGCAGTCCCGGATGTAGCTGTACACCAGACCTGCAATTGAATCGTCGAGGCATTAGAGGAATTCCTATTTGTATCCATGTCTCAAACACACATTCAAGAGCGTATTCGTTATCCCTTTGAGTTCGTTATAACCGTACTTTACTGTAGCCTTAAAGGACGGACAGTGTAACTATTTGTTGGACAAATCCCGTCCTTTTTTAGTTGAATGTAGTTTTGGTTTTCGACACTGGCGTAACTGTTTTGTTTCATTATGGATATTTTTGGTGCAGTTGTTATTATCAGTCTTTGTTTTCAAAACTGAATAGTGATTATAATATTGAAACTATATTTGTGTCAACTGATTATACACTGTACAATACGTTAGGGCTCATGAATATTTTGTGGATATTTTTAATAGTGGAGAGTGAGTACACAACTTCACGAAATAGGATCCCTTACGGTCTTCCCCGTGTCTGACATCTTTCCCGATTGAGCCGCCAAGCTCCGAAAGTGCAAATTAAAAGTCTGCTGCTTTGAATAATATTTTAGTTAGATCACTGCATGTTGCATGATGTATGTTTTTTATTTCTGTACCGGCCAAAGGAAAGGGGTATTCAGCTGAGAGTGGGACTGAACCTGAGTTTCGAACCACACACAATAACGGACCTCAGCAGTTGTTTAATACAATCCCTCCAACTCTAACGAAATAAATGTACAAGCATTCTCAAAGCCAAACGTAGCTTATTCATCACATCGTGTGTTGACTTTCCCCTTTGCTTTGAAATGTCATAGCTGCTGAATTGGTCTGAGCAAGGTTGTATTCTTGTTTGTTAAAACATGAAATATAACTAAACTCTGCCTTGTAGTTTTATGTCATCTTTCCGCAATTCTGGATACGAATCTAGTTTTCGTTATTTCCCATTAAAGATTTAGAACGGTTTGAAAATTTGAGATGTGACCTAAATACGCAATATCGAGCTGTCATGTTCTATGTTGACAACAAAGTTTTCTTTTGTTCAGTTAGCTGTAGGATCAGTCTGTGATACCGTTAGTCCATATCCTCATAAATACACTTGTAAGTAGCCTTGTACGTTTGTTATATTTGTTAATTTAATGTTGATCAATATCAGTTTTTGTAATTTTTTTGAGTATGTGTGTGTTTAACGTAGATTACATGACACAAAGATCCAGCCGTAACGGATAAAGATTTATTTTTTCTCTGACAACAATATGCAACACTAAAAACAATATGTTCCATTTTTAAACGCGGTTTTCATCCTCAATGTTGAAAAGATGTATTCGAAACATGTTCAGTTGACACAGATTATATTGCTGACGAAACGTATGATTGCAATGTTTGATTAATCTTTTCGTGCTTAAGGATGACGACAAAATTTATAATATGTTGGTTTTGACGACTGCTAGGTGAACTGTTTCTGCATCTGTGACCTTGCATGACATATTTTATGTAATGAGCACATATTTGTCATGTATCCTTGCATGTTTTTTTTTTATAAAATAATTTTGCATGTGCACGAATAAGCGGTTTAAGTAAGTGGTTTTCTGTCTTTAATCCAAGCTGATTTTCTTGCGATATGTTGATAAAGGCAGTACAAGCATATTGTAAAATAGTTCCTTTGGGTCGCGAATATTAAGATGGTTAGTGTTTCTCTTGATGTAAATATAGCCCTTTTCACTCATTTAACTCATGAGCCTAATCATGTTAGAAGTCCAAAATTTGAAAGTGAAAAATAGAAAATCGGCTAGTTGTCACCCATAAAAAAACATGTCCAATAATATGTATACCACTGCTACAGTTTCTTCCGGGCTACAAGTTTGATGTAGACCTTTATATGCGGGGACCTTCAACTTGAACGAGTCTATGGCTAGTCACTTTTGACCTACCTAATTTAATGTAGACTTCGATCATACAGAAAGGCTGTGATGCAGAGCAGTTCCTCAACAGTTCCTGGTCTGTGTCGTTGTTGTTCAGATTCGCTTTGTGCAGGACGTCATAATCTCGACAGTCCGGATTGCTGCCAGTGTCCGTGCAAAAATAGCATGCGTTTCGGGAGTAGCCTCCCCTTGCCCCATCTGAAATTTGATTTTTAAATTATTAACTTCATGAATTTCCAACTTCCGTAATTATGTCTCTTTAGTTTGCTATGATCATATCGTTAGCGATATGATATTTAGTATGATGATGGCATAGGATCATTTGAGAATTTGTTCTGCTGCATTGTCATTTTTACCCTTGTGTTTAATAAAAGCATTGATCGATATTCCATTGATCAAGTCAGGGTATATAGTTCCGTTAATGTTCAATGTATGAAATACTTACACGAAATATTTAAAAGCTCTTCTTCCATTTCTTTAAAGTTGAACTCGTTTCTGAGAGACAGTTATCAACTAGCGTCTTGGAAATAATAATATTATTCGTCTGTAATATTGTACGATTCTGACTGTGTCCTATGTATGTGTTTGTGAATCACTACCAAGCACTGATGATACCGGGCGTTCGCGACAATGTGAGCCTACCCTGTCCTACAGTGGCACCCGTCACAAACACTTACAAAGGCATGTCAGCTGTTCACCTTAATATATAAAAGCGACAAAACCCTTTTCATAATGATAAGATACCTTTGCCAAAAGGAGAGGCGATTTACAATTCCGACTATATCAGGAGTGAGTGAGTGAGTATGGTTTTACGCCGCTTTTAGCAATATTCCAGCAATATCACGGCGGGGGACACCAGAAATGGGCTTCACACATTGTACCCATGTCGGGAATCGAACCCGGGTCGTCGGCGTGACGAGCGAACGCTTTAACCACTAGGCTACCCGACCGCCCCCACTATATCAGGAGCATGTGTTTATGAATCATTACCAAACAGCGATGACACCAGGAGTGCGGGAAAAGGTGAACGTATTCTGCCCCACCGTTGGCACCCAGCCAAAATGATCGACATAAGGAATTGCATCAGATATATTTTGGTCACCATTGCGTCAAATCTATAATCAACCATACAACCTAGTGAATGCTGTAATGACATGGACGCTGTAACCCTGCTGTAATGACATGAACGCTGTAACCCTGCTGTAATGACATGAACGCTGTAACCCTGCTGTAATGACATGAACGCTGTAACCCTGCTGTAATGACATGAACGCTGTTACCCTGCTGTAATGACATGAACGCTGTAACCCTGCTGTAATGACATGAACGCTGTAACCCTGCTCAAACAACTTCTGAGCAAGAGTCGTATGATGCTCTTTAAAATCTTCTTTGAAAAACATCTTATATACGTTCAGTAATGATACAGTAAACTACGCTTATAACGAACTTACGGATATAACGAACTTACTTTTTGGTCCCGACTAGTTGCTGTAGTTATGCTGTATATATGCTTATAACGAACTACGGTTATAACGAACTAAAATTAGTAGTCCCTTTGAGTTCGTTATAACCGTACTTTACTGTACTTCCCTTTTGCTATAACAAATTACAAACACCATAATAACCAGGGTACCGCTACGATGTCCTCCAATACTATAATGATCCCACCTTGAGGAAAGAAAATCGATGTTGCCACATGTCATAACGCCTTCGGCGATCCACCACAAGGTTTTCTTATGATAGGTGTTATTATCGACGATTGCACAAATGTGTTATTACAATATTAATAACAATGTCCATACACGGAACAATGGGAATTGGTTTTCAGAAGGGGTTCGGTAACAAGGATGTGTGTCTAATTCATATTGACTCAAGCCTCAATATCGACCCGGTAAGACGACGAAAAATTAATATTTCAAACACTATAGCATAGGTGTGCCAGCACAATCATAACGAGCTCGGCCACTGAAGCAGCTGATTATGTTTATGCATTAATAATTCACCTTTCTGCCAAAGGAAATCCAGGTATGTTTATATTGTATATTGTAATACTGATATCAACAAATGACAGCCCTTTCTTTGTTGATGGTCTTTAAAAATGCAATGTCATGACTAGGAATAGATACAAGAGCCAAACCTTTTCACAAAATGAACATATTTTCCTAACGACAAAGAGCGAATTGATAATTGATGTCATTTTCAAAAATACGGGATGCTGGCCACATACTTATCCTGCTGTCTGTGATTGGAAATCAAGCAAGATAAAATATAAAATTGTTTCTCCTCATTTTGGAAATAGAGACTGAAAAAGCGTATGGATACATTTGGAAACGTTGTTAAACACTGGGTTGGTTATTGTTATGGTAATGCTTAACAACAGAAAAATCCAAACAATGGTGATTATGCATATTATTAAAGTGAGTATGGTTTTACGCCGCTTTTGGTAATTATCTAGTAATATCAGGGAGGGGCACCAGAGATGGGCTTCACACATCGTACCCATGTAGGGAAACGAGCCTGGGCATTGGAGTGACGATGAACGATGAACACTAGGCTACTCCCCCGCTCCTAAATCAAAAGGACACGGGGAGCCTAGTGGGTAAAGCGTTCGCTCACCACGCCAAAGACCCGGGTTCGATTCCCGACATGGGTACAATGTGTGAAGCCAATTTCTGGTGTTCCCCGCCGTGATATTGCTGGAATATTGCTAAAAGCGGCGTAAAACCATACTCACTCACTCACTCAAAAAGGACAGGTGTATTCGTCGTGGAAAGGAAGCGGAATTTCCACACTGAGCGACAGCTTGAGACAACAGCAGCAACTGATCAATAAAACACAAAACAATGAACGCAGTGCCCATTGGTAAATATGAAACCTGTTTGAAAATGCACAGCAATCACATTCCGCAAAAATAGTTCCCAGCAAGATAACTTATGAGAAATAAACGTGTTTTCCTGTCTATAAGGGTTTTGGGGCAGCTTAGTGGTTACAGCATTTGGTTGTCACGACATGGACCATGGCTCTGTTCCACGGACCGCCTCCGTGGTCTAGAGGTAGAGCGTCCGCCCGGAGAGCGGCAGGTCGGGGGTTCCATCAGTGGGGTATTCATGTTGACCTGCGGCGTGGTATCCAAGTGTGCTAGCACCATAAAAATCGGCATTCGTCTGGACCACACGCACCGACGCACCGACGCACCGACGCACGCACGCACGGACACACGTACGCACGGACACACGCACGCACGCACGCACGCACGCACACACAGACACACACACATTCCTACAATATTATTGCGTAAATCACCAGGAATTAGCTTCACACCTTGTACGGATTTCTGAGTCTTTGGCGTGATATGCGAACGCTTTAACCGTCAGCCTAACCGGCGCATAACAAACAGGAAGGTTTTCATTCCATTCAGCCTCACGGTCTGCCAAACGTGACTGCGGAAGACAATTACTCATGTGTTACACAAGCCTTCGAGTTTCTCATCCTAAAGGTAATAATCATCAGCCAAGAGGTGTCATATCTTATCATCGTTAACGAAGGCGGATCATCATAACCTCCCAAACTGATTGCGTTATGGAATATTCCGGAACATAGCTGATTAATTCAATTATCTCAAGTTACTGAACAAATACCAAGATACAATGACAGAAAGTCCAATAAGACTTAATCCTCCACTATTTTCATCTCGAAATGATGGAAAACTATCATTTACTGTAGAACCCCGGCCAAACCACTACGATAAACTTAATTCGATTAACAAGATATTGCTCCTGGCTATGATATACTCTTCAAAAATAGAAACGCATAGGTGTTTTGAGAATTCCAATTAGATTTTTCTTTCCCAGCAATCGTCATAAAGACAAGTCCTAGGTTTGAATCCCGTTAATCATGTCATGTTTGTTGTGCATTGCGTGCAAACACATCTCAAAATGTTTTTTTGTAAACGTTTATCAGCAAAAAGGATGCACGTAAATTGCTTTCAGAGAAGGTTTTCAGCACCGTGCACGTGCAATGTGTTGGAAACAAGAGTAGAGACACTGACTATAAAAGACCGTACAAAATTTATCAGTTCATTACGAATTTTCTGACGTGAAAGGAGATCGAAAAAGCCAAGATTAACTGCAGCTGACCGAAATATCGCCATTGGACGTTTGGAAGCAGGGGAGTCCCAGTCTGCCGTTGCAAGACACTTCAACGTTCACAAAAGCACCATATCTCGACTATGGGATCCATATACCCGCTCTAATTCGACTCAAGAGCATCCCAGAAGTGGAAGACCAAAAGTGATCACCCCTGCTCAGGATCGGTACATCCTGTTGCATCATCTTCGGAATCGATTTGCTACAGCAACGGACACTGCAGGACAAGTGCCTGGTATGGGAAGAATTTCCGACCAAACCATCAGAAATCGTCTGATTGAAGTGGGAATTCGAGCGAGTGGGTCGTATTACCTCATGTACATGATGAACTGACAAATGATGACGTAGACAAACATACAGTTCCGTCGTCAGCAGTGGGTCTTATTACCTTATGTACATGATGAACTGACAAATGATGACGTAGACAAACATACAGTTCCGTCGTCTGCAGTGGGTCGTATTACCTCATGTACATGATGAACTGACAAATGATGACGTAGACAAACATACAGTTCCGTCGTCAGCAGTGGGTCGTATTACCTCATGTACATGATGAACTGACAAATGATGACGTAGACAAACATACAGTTCCGTCGTCAGCAGTGGGTCGTATTACCTCATGTACATGATGAACTGACAAATGATGACGTAGACAAACATACAGTTCCGTCGTCTGCAGTGGGTCGTATTACCTCATGTACATGATGAACTGACAAATGATGACGTAGACAAACATACAGTTCCTGTCAGCAGTGGGTCTTATTACCTCATGTACATGATGAACTGACAAATGATGACGTAGACAAACATACAGTTCCGTCGTCAGCAGTGGGTCGTATTACCTCATGTACATGATGAACTGACAAATGATGACGTAGACAAACATACAGTTCCGTCGTCTGCAGTGGGTCGTATTACCTCATGTACATGATGAACTGACAAATGATGACGTAGACAAACATACAGTTCCTGTCAGCAGTGGGTCTTATTACCTCATGTACATGATGAACTGACAAATGATGACGTAGACAAACATACAGTTCCGTCGTCAGC